CTTCCTGTCGAACGCAGCGGGCGGCGCCATAACGAGGATCCCTCAGCCAAGGAGCCCTGAGGCCTCTGTGAAGACAGATTCAGAGATCCTTGTCCGTGAGGGCGTTTTTCTTTTATATTCAGAAGTATTGTGGGACGTCTTGGGTAGCACATTATAGCATACATAAATGTGACCTCTTGCGGGCCCAAAAGCAGTTTATCGTTGACCACATTCTCGCCGTGGCCCGTCTAGCCTCAGAGGGCCCCCGTTAACAGGCTCGTGGCCGTCATGGGCGACTTCGATATTGCTGATGTGCCGCCGACGCCAGGCAATCCCTCCGAATTTCAGAGCCTGGGCGCTGGCTATCAGATTTGGCGTGCAATGCAGGATGCAGTCTGGCGGGCGTTTTTGTTCCTCTCTGGTAGAAATCCAGCGGAATGGACCGACTCACGTGCACTCTCCGAGCGCCACGAAGAGCATCATCGTCGCGGCGTTCCCTTCTTTACCTGGCTGGGCTTTGCTGCAGCTCGGGGTGTGCGGAGTTACCCAGAGATTGGTTGAGGCAGTCTTTCACAAGAAGCCGTATGACCACGTCGCCATGAACCTTGACTCCCGCCAGGCCTCCCACCTTCTCTATGATGAAATTCGTGCCAGGTCCTTGGCCCTATTTCGCCCCGTCGGGCTCGCGGAGGCCCGTGCCCTCCTGTCCGCAATCCGAGGCCAGCTGCTGCGGTAGTTGGACGTGGACTCGAGTCCTTAGGCCACGCGGCAGGAGGAGGAGGAGGAGGAACACAGGCACTGCGATCAGCCGGTCATAGGGTCATAATCATTGTAGCGCCAAGAGGTGGTGGAGGAGGAGGAGGAGGAGGGAGATGGAGGAGAAGGTGGGAGATGCAGGCGGTGGCAGGCGGACGATGAGGAGAAGGAGGAGGAGGAGGAGGAGACGGAGGAGGAGGAGGATGCTTTCGATGAGTAAGTAAACGCGGAGTGTGGAGGAGGACGAGAAGACGAGGCCCAGGAGGGGGGGGAGAAGGGAAACAGAGGGAGAGGAAGCAGTCTGATAGTGGTGGTAGTGATGGTGATGGTCACGGTGATGGCGATCGTGATGGTGCTGCTGCTGATGCAGATGCTGATGTTGGATGGTGACGACGGCGACGACGACGAGGAGGCTGATCATGCGAATATGAGCGTATGGTGGTGATCATCTTCGCGGTGATGCCAATGGTGAGTATGACGACGACTACGCCAATCACGCTGATGGCGAGGATGATGAGCAGGATGATTAGGAGAAGGGGCAGGATGAGGAGGATGAAGGAGCAGGGCCCCTTATTACCTCCAACAGAGTTAATCGCCCTCGCATCATCGAAAGCACCTCTTTCGTTGCCCCCCTCCTTCCGAGTGCCCCCTTCTCCCCCAGACCCAGGAGGGAGAAACTTACAATTATGCGGAGGAGGAGGAGGAGGAGGAGGAGGAGGAGGGGGAGGAGGAGGAGGTGAAGTAGGAGGACGACGACGACGGCGACGGCGACGGCGAGGGCGAAGACTAGGGAGGAGGAAGGACGGACAACAAAAAGGGATGATGAGGATGATGGGGGGACGGAGGAAAGGGAGGGAGGCTCGAGGGAGTATCGGGGGAGGAGCAGCAGACAGGCAGTGGAAGCAGAAACCGAGAAAGGGGAGGGCCTCCCAGCTGCCCCCCGCCAGAAGCGCGCTGCCAGAGCTCCCGGCGAGTCGAGTGGCAGCGACGGGGAGGACGAGGAGCCGGGGGCGTGCAAGGAGGGGTCCGAGGACATCTCGCGTCGGGGTGCTCGGCCGCTGGCTCTCGGAGACGTTTGGACGCTCTGGGGGGGGGTCGTCGCCTCCTGGGTGGCTCTCGTCGCCACGGCTGGATGTGCCTCGGGCTTCTGGCCACGGCAGAGCATGACAAACCTTGGGAGGGGTCCGAAGGGGGGGGGGGGGGACTTCTCGCCTCGGGGTGCTCTCCAGCAGCTGCGCCTCGCCGAAGGCTTTCCGGGGGGGCCCGCATCGTCCCGAACGCCCGCAGGAGGTCCGAGTTATGACCCGAATGCCATCAGCGGTCGGGTGTCGAGGGGATTGCTCACTTTGTGCGTGCGTGCGTGCGTGCGTGCGTGCGTGCGTGCGTGTGTGTGTGTGTGTGTGTGTGTGTGTGTGTGTGTGTGTGTATGAGTGTGTGTGTGTGTGTGCGTGTGTGTGTGTGTATGTGTGTGTGCGTCGGTGGCCCCACTTCTCTTATCATCGCGGTCGCTTTGCGTTGTGGGTCTGTAGGTAAGCTTTTCCACGAAAGGGCTGAAGCCCAGGGTTCTCTTTTCGAAGTTTGCCCCCGGAGTCGACGGGAAGAGGGCCTGCGGAATTATTCTGCGATAAATTACGAGCGGGAAGAGGGCCGGCGGAATTATTTTTGAGGATGTCCCTAGCGAGACGCTTGTTTTTTGTTTCAGAATTTGTTGAGGATGTCTCGAGCGAAACGCTGGTTTTGCAGAGTTGAGAATATCTCGAGCGAAACGCTTGTTTGCAGAATTTGTTGAGGATGTCTCGAGCGAAACGCTGGTTTTGCAGAGCCGACCGCGACGCGGAAAAGCGCCCCGATTCCGATGATGTTTCGCGCGTGCCGCGTCCCGCGCGCAGGAATTTCGAGGATGTCTCGACTAATTCGTTTGTTTTGCCAGGATTCCCTTGAATTTTGGAAGGATGTCTCAAGCGAAATGTTTGTTTTTCCATAATTGGTTGAGGATGTTTCGAGCGAAACGCTGGTTTTGCAAAAAAATAATAATTTGTTGAGGATGTCTCGAGCGAAACACTGGTTTTGCAAAATTGGGGGATGTCTCGAGCGGGGGCCTCGTGGGGGGCAGAATTCAGAGGATGTCTCAGGCAAAATGTTTGTTTTCACGTCCCGCTCGCAGGAATTCCGAGGATGTCTCGCGCGTGCCGCGTCCCGCTCGCAGGAATTCTGAGGATGTCTCGACTAATTCGTTTGTTTTGCAGGGATTTCCTTGGATTTTGACAGGATGTCTCGAGCGAAACGCTTGTCCCCAACACGTTCCGTAGCGTGTCCCCTTGGCACGTCCCGCGTTGCGTCCCCATGGCACGTCCCTTGGCACGTCGCTTGGCGCGTCCCGTGAGACGTTCCGCGGCGCGTCCTCCTGACATGTCCCCCTGTCAATTAGCTCTGGGGCAGCTAATATGTGTTCAGGCAGCTCGAGCTTAAGATCGAGATCAGTTCGGTCAGGACTCGGATGCAAAGGAGGACTCGATCCACGAGGCTATAGAGCACAATCGCGGCATGGCGCATCGCAATTCAGCACTGCGCAGCACAGCACATATTTCGGCACGGTACATCAAGATCGATACATTCAGCATTGCAACTTGGCACGTTCCTTGGCACGTTCCGTGGCGCGTCCCTTGGCGAGTCTCCCTGGCACGTCGCGTGGCGCGTCCCCTGGCACATCCCGTGGCACATCCATTGGCACGTTCCGTAGCGCGTCCCCTTGGCACGTCCCGCGGTGCGACCCCATGGCATGTCCCCTGGCACGTCGCCTGGCGCATCCCTTGGGACGTTTCGCGGCGCGTCCTCCTGACATGCTCCCCTGTCCATCAGCTCTGGGGCAGCTACTATGTGTTCAGGCAGCTCGAGCTTAAGATCGAGATCAGTTCGGTCAGGACTCGGATGCAAAGGAGGACTCGATCCATGACGCTATAGAGCACATTCGCGGCATGGCACATCGCAATTCAGCACGGTGCAGCACAGCACAGCCCTCGGCAGGGTACATCAAGATCGATACACTCAGCATTGCATTTGCCCGTCACCCAATCAGGTGTCTTTGAAAATGCTGGCATGTGTTACAGTTCTATATTCCTTTCCGGGTTCGTGGGCCGATCATGTTTACCAGTTTGCCTCGCAGGACCGCTGGGTCGACCACACTACCAATTTGCTTGTCTAGCAGCAAGTACTTTCTTGCGCTTCGCTGTCTAACACCGCTGTGGTGATTCAGTGGCCGCCAATTTGCACTTGGCGATCGCGCTTCAGTTCACTTTGACTTGAATCGTATCCTCGTTTTCTGGTCGCTACATGTTTCGTTTGGGCTTGCAGTTCCCCCAACACACCCATCGCCTGCAGATTGCAGCGTGCGACGTTTCGTACGCCACGCCCTCGACAGTGCTCGATCTGCTGCTCGCGCTTGAGGACCCTCTGCGCCGCTGACTTGAAAGGTGTGTATAAGCTACTGCCCCGGATCACATCATCATCATAATCATCCTCATCATCATCATCATCATCATCATCATCAGCATCATCATCATCGTCGTCGTCATCATCATCATCATAAGCAGCATCATCATCAGCATTAGCAATCATAACGATTGCCCAGGATCATCATCATCATCATCATCATCATCATCATCATCATCATCATCATCATCATCATCATCATCATCATCATCATCATCATCATCATCATCATCATCATCATCATCATCATTATCTTCATCATCATTGTTATCATCATCATCATCATCATCATCAGCAGCAGCAGCAGCAACAGCAGCATCGTCATCAGCATCATCATCATCATAACATCACCTTCTCCAGGACAATCATTGATTATCCCCGCCAGACCCTCGAACTTTATTATCTCCCGGGGATTATTATCTGGGGCAGTCGGCTATGCGCGTGTGGGGCATTATGGTAGGGCCACGAAGCCTCCCAGATTTCATGGCCCCCCCTTCGACTTGCCTTTCGGTGCGTTGCCTGCCCCCCCCCCGCTCCCCCCCTCCGTGCCCGCGCACACAAGATGTGCCATCCCCCCTTGTCCTGCCCCCCCGCCCTACACATTGTTCATTTCTAAGATTTCGAAAGTTCCTCGGTTTTTTGGGGGCCAAGGTCCTTTCATTTCTAATTGTTCGATCCTGGGCCTCTTCCTGGCCACTAGGGGGCCAGGAACAATTAGAAACGAGCATAATTAGAAATGAGCACGATTAGAAATGAACGACGTGTACTTTGCGGCGCGCCCGAGAGGAGGATGAGGACGAGTCCGACCCCGAGTTGGACAGCGCCTGAGCGCAGGACAGGGATTGGAGAAGCAAGCGCCAGCATAGACATAAACTCTTGAAGGCCCTCGCGGAGTTCATGAGTCGGCGCTTTGGTGGTTCTTGAACGTTTTCGCCTTTTTGGGGGCCTCCTGGGAGACCCTCGCGCCACGGCTGGATTCGCTTCGAAATTCGGGTCAGAACGCACCCCAGGAGAGGCCTACGGAGTACGGTCGGACCGAGATGTAAGATCGAGGTCGCTTCGGGGAGGGTACCCTAGTGTTCTTCGTGTTTACTGGAGGTTCTTGTGCATCCTGGGGAGGGTACCCTTGGATGTTCGGTGTGTTTTGGCGGGCGGAGGGTCTCATGCTTTTGAAGGATCTTCTTCTGTGCTAGGTCAGGCCGTAGCGGTGTCGATCGCTTTTCGTTTCCCAGTGGGGCGAGGAGAAATAATTGCATGAGCATAAACTTTCGGTGCTCCGCGCGGACCTCCTGGGTCGGTGCTGGACCCCCCTCCCTGGCGCGCGCCTCCGGCGCTGCCCCTGGCGCGATCTGCGCGCCAGGGAGGAGTGCCAAAGCGCCGATCCAAAAAGTCGTCGCGTGGACATCCGAGCGTTTGTGTCTATACAGTTTTTGTCCCTACCTAGGCTCTGCCTAGAAGGGTTCTTACTCGGTAAACTTAAAAGGGGCCGGGCAGTGCAACTCGCCCCGGGCGGTTCCCCCAGTATCCGCCCCGCGGTTCCCCCAGTTACGTCCCCTTAGCTTAGCGTCGCTTATCTCATCTTAGCTTAGCTTATTTCATCTTAGCTTAGCTTAGCTTCATCTTAGCTCAGGTTATCTTAGCTTAGCTTACCTTCATATCAGCTTCGCCGAGCTTTAGCATAGCAGAGCACATCATAGCATAGCATAGCATAGCTCAGCATAGCATAACATAGGGCAGCTTAGCATAGCATAGTATAGCTTAGCATAGTATAGCTTAGCATGGCATAGTTTAGCATAGCACAACATAGCATAGCATAACACAGCATAGCATATCATAGCATTTCATAGCATAGCATATCATAGTATATCATAGCATAGCATAGCATAGCATGCCATAGCGCAGCATAGCATAGCATGGCATAGCATAGCATATCATAGCACAGCAACTTATGCTGGTTTCCTAGGGGCTCCAACTTCTAGGTAGGGTCGCACTGGGGAAATTCCTCCTCTGAGGACAGGGGCCTCCAAGGTCTCCCGCCAGCTGGGATTCACGGCCTCCGCGACGCTCACCAGCTTGCCTCTTCCTCCCAGATCCCCAACCCTCGAGGAGGAGAAGGTACCCATGCCGCTACCCTTCCCTCGTTTTCCCCTTAGGGGGCCTCCTGGGAGGCCCTCGTCGCCACCGCAGGATTCGCCTCGCAGTTCTGGTCAGAACGCAGCCCGGAAGAGGTGCGGGGAGCAGCGGTATTGGTACACTTTGGTTTCTCCACAACCTTGGTGTCCGTTACACCCTCTTCCCCGTGCCCGTCCTCCATCCCCCCTCCGCTTCTCCCCTCCTCCCCCTCTTCCGTTCCGCCTGTCCATCCCCTTGTGCCCCTCTCACCCTTGCATCCCCCCACATACCCTCCCCTTTCCAACATCCCCCTTCGCAAGATCTGGGAGTCCGACTCAGGCGGTGTCTCTCCCTCCCTTCTCCCCCTCGCTCCCTCTCATGTTATCGTCCCTCCCCTCCTCATCTTCCTTCCCAATTTTCCTCTGCTCTCTCTCCTCCCTCTCTTCCGATTGCCTCCTCCCGAGCATCCTCTGCCTCGTAATCTGCCTCGTCCTCCTCATCCTTCGCCAATTCCTCCTCGTCTTCCTCCCTCATCCCCTCCCTCCCACCCCGTCGCCCCTTCCCCTCAGCCTTTCCCGCGGCTGCTGGGGGCCCTTGGCGAAGCGCGCTCGCCATCACAGAGGAGGAGCAGGAGGACTGGAAGCACGAGTGTGCGGATGAGGAGACTGGTGGGGGGAGGGGGAGGGACGAGACATACGCGGAGGAGGCGGAAGCGGCAGTGAGAGCAGGGCGCGGACGCGGAAGCCAGAGGAGGGAGGGAGGGAGGCAGTTACTGAGGAGGGATGGAAGGGGGGAGTGAGAACGAGCAGCAGCAAGATGAACACGAACACGTTAAACAGGAACATCAGGAACCGATTCACCTCATGAAGCCTTTGCCTGATTCCATGCAGAATAGGCACAACTTGTGTTGCTCCCATCGTGCTTACGGACCACGTCCCAGAAATAACTTCGAGCACACAGAAGCGTATCGAAAAAGTGTCGAACGAGTATCGCCTCCCAGGGCCCGACACTTGAAAACCCTCCCGTTCCGGTGCTCTCTTGGTGCTCGGCATTCCTTCTGGTGGCCAAGACTAGAGTATGTTGGAGCATCATCAGGCACGGTGGAACGAAGGCTGGAATGAGAATGAGCAGCAGCAAGAGAAGGACGAGCCCCCCCCCCGGGCAGGATAAGCGCCTGAGCGCGCCGCCTGGGCGCCTCTCTCGGTGCCGCGCCGCGCCGGCCGGCCAGCGGCGCTGCCCCGTGGACTGGCTGCGCGCCTGCCCCGGGAACCGAGCTCTCTTCCCGTCCCTCCTCGCTGTGCACCTTTCTCCAGTCCCTCCCTGCTTCCCGCTTCCTCCCTCCTCCCTCCTCCTCCTCCTCCTCCTCCGCCTCCTCCTCCGCCTCCTCCATCGTGCTCCTCCTCCTCCTCCTCCTCCTCCTCCTCCTCCTCCTCCTCCTCCTCCTCCTCCTCCTACTTCTTCGCCCTCTCTCCTCAGCGCCATCCCTCTCCCGCTTGTCTCCCTCCTCCTCCTCCTCCTCCTCCTCCTCCTTCTCCTCCTCTCCTCCTCCTCCTCCTCCTCCTCCCTCCTCCTCCTATCCCTTGCTCCTCCTCCTCCTCCTCCTCCTCCTCCTCCTCCTCCTCCTCCTCCTCCTCCTCCGCATCCTTTTGCTCGTCATCCTCCTCCGTCGCCTCCTCCTCCTCCTCCTCCTCGCCCTCGTCCTCCTACTTCTCCCTTTCCACTCCCCTATCGCTCCTCCCCCAGCTTCTCCCGTGGCTGCTGGGGCCCTCTTGGTCCGTGCCCCAAGCTGAGGAGGAGCAGGAGGAGGCGGACGAGGAGGAGGAGGAGGAGGAGGAGGAGGAGGAGGAGGAGGAGGAGGAGGAGGAGCAAGGGATAGGAGGAGGAGGAGGAGGAGGAGGAGGAGGAGGAGGGGGAGGAGGGGGAGGAGGAGGAGGAGGAGGGAGGAGGAGGAGGACGACGACGATGATGCAGGAGGAGGAGAAGGATGGGGCAGCAGGAGGAACAGCGGGCCCCCGACGCCTCCCCCGCCCGGCGCTCCTTTGCTCCCGCCGCCGCCGCCGACTTGGGCCTCTCTGGCCCCCCTCCCCCTCCCCCCTCTTGCCTCGAGTCTCGAGCTCCTCCTTCCCCCCCCCCCCCCCCTCTTGCCTCGGATCGTGCCTCGTCTCGAGCTCCTCTTTCCCCCCCCCTCTTGCCTCGGATCGTGCCTCGAGTCTCGAGCTCCTCTTTCCCCCCCCTCTTGCCTCGGATCGTGCCTCGAGTCTCGAGCTCCTCCTCCCCCCCCTCTTGCCTCGGATCGTGCCTCGAGTCTCGAGCTCCTCCTTCTCCCCCCCCCCTCTTGCCTCGGATCGTGCCTCGAGTCTCGAGCTCCTCCTTTCCCCCCCCCCCTCTTGCCTCGGATCGCCCCCTCTTCGGGGCCTCTCACCCCTTGCAGATGCTCGGCTTTCCTCCTTGAGGCCCCAGGCCTGGCCTCGAGAGGTGAACGAGACTACGTGGCCGAGTGTTTCGGCCTGTGGGGGTCTTCTGGGCCAAGTGCCAACGGTGCGGTATCGAACGGGAGCCGTCGATGGGACAAAAGGCGGGGAGGAGAGGTGCGGTGCACAGCGGGGGCAGGACAGCTAGACACATGTTCACAGCCGCATCGAGAGCCCTGTGGCAGACAGGGGAGCCATGCGGGCAGAGCGCGGGTCCGCCCACCCTGGCCTTCTGGACGTGAGGCACGCAGAGACAACTCCTCTGCACACCCTTCCCCATCGACCCCTCCCCACTCCAACATCACTCCCCGGCCTGTCCCTCCCTTCCTCCCGCCCTCTCGTACCTTGCCGCTCCCCACGCCGCCGTCCTGTCCACTTCCCCAGCGCCCTCCCCGCTCGTTGTCTCTGGTCCGCGTCTCTTTTGCCCTGGCGCGCGCCCCTCTTCCGTCATCGGAGTCCCTCTCTAGAGCCCTTCCTCCACAGCCATTCTTCTATCGTCGATCGCGACCCTTCTTCCTCCAAAGCTTCGGGCCCAAAGCCAAAGCCCTTCCTCATCCTTCCTTCTCCAGAGCCTTCCCTCCCCAACCCTTTCCCCAGATTGTCTACCGAGGACGGGACCCACTGACGTCGTGTGATTCCCGGAAATGGCGTAGGCCCAGGGTTCTCTTTTAGTGTTGTTTCCCCCCGGCCCCGACTTGAGGTGGGCCGGCCGAATTTTTCTGCGATTAATAACCAGGAATGGGTGGGACGGCGGATCTTTTTTTTCTGAGGATGACCCGAGCGAAACGCTTGTCTTACATAATATGTTGAGGATGTCTCGAGTGAAACGCCCGTTTTGCAGAGTTGGTGGAGGCTCGAGCGAAACGCTTGTTTACTCGGGTCAAGGTCGCCCAGGCAGATGTTTAACTTGTTTAGGATATCTCAAGCGAGACCCTTGTTTTCATGTGTCCAGGTTGCCCAGGGCTGTATCTTACATGGTTGTCCCGAGCAACGCCGAATTACCAGGAAACGTCGGGGGGGCCGAAAAGCGCTACCCGAACACATATCTCAATACAGAAAAGTGATATTTTCTTGCTCTGGACAGGGGGCGGCGCTTTGGGGGGCCTCTCCAGGGAAGACATTTCGAGGATGTCTCGAGCGGGAGCGCGAATTTAGCGTCTCCAGGCCATGCAGGGGGGTATCTAACATGGTTGTCCCGAGCTGGAACCACGTGTTTTGACATGTCCAGGCCAACCAGGGGGATGTCTAACATGGTTGCCCCGAGGTGGAACCACGTGTTTTTACATGTCCAGGCGACCCAGGGGGTATGTAACATGGTTGTTCCGAGCTGGATCCACGAGCTTTTACGTGTCCAGGCCCAGGGGGATATCTAATATGGTTGTCCCGAGCTTGAACCAAGTGTTTTTACGTGTCCAGGCCACCCAGGGGGATATCTAACATGGTTGCCCCGAGCTTGAACCACGTATTTTTACGTGTCCAGGCCACCCAGGGGGTATCTAACATGATTGTCCCGAGCAAGGACTACGTGTTTTAACGTGTCCAGGCTACTCAGGGGTGTATCTAACATGACTGTCCCAAGCAAAGACTACGTGTTTTTTATGTACCCAGGCCACCCAGGGGGATGTCTAACATGGTTGTCCCGAGCAAGGACCACGTGTTTTAACGTTCCGTAGAGTGTCCCCTTGGCACGTCCCGCGGTGCGTCCCCATGGCACGTCCTCTGGCACGCAGCCTGGCGCGTCACTTGTGACGTTCCGCGGCGCGTCCTCCTGGCATGTCCCCTTGTCAATTAGCTCTGGGGCAACTACTATGTGCTCAGGCAGCTCGAGCTTAAGATCCAGATCAGTTCGGTCAGGACTCGGATGCAAAGGAGGACTCGATCCACAACGCTATAGAGTACAATCGCGGCATGGCACATCGAAATTCAGCACGGCGCAGCACAGCACAGCCTTCGGCACGGTACATCAAGATCGACACATTCAGCATTGCAACCTGGCACGTTCCCTGGCACGTTCCGTGGCGCGTCCCGTGACACGTCCCGCGACACGTCCATTGGCACGTTCCGTAGCGCGTCCCCTTGGCACGTCCCGCGGCACTCTAGACACCCTGTTCAAGAGAAGTCTGGAGCCCCGACCGGAGGTCCCAGCAGAGGCAACAGGAGAGGCCCCCGGAGAGGAGGAGGTGGAGGAGGAGGAGGACAAGGAGGAGGAGGAGGAGGACAAGGAGGAGGAGGAGGAGGAGGAGGAGGAGGAGCACCCCGCTAGCAGCCCGGGAGGGGGTCTCACCCAGGAGCAGTTGTTCGCGCAGGGTCGTTTTTTTGGCGCCCCCGGGGCCCGGCGCGAGTCCCTGGGGGCCGAGAGCCGCGGAAAAACCCGCCTTGGCTCCGGATCCGCCCTACTTTGGGGAAATTCGTAAGTAGGGCTTGGAATTTCCGCCTTACTTTTCTAGCCCCGCTGATGCCAATTTCCACCCTACTTTTCTGTTGCTGTTTCCGCCCTAATTCTGTGGATTTCCGCCAGAAATTTCCGCCCTACTTTTTCGGCTTCTTCTAGGTGGATATCAGACGCCGGCCCAGGTTTAGTAGGTTACCCCCGCGGCCTCGACTTGAATGAGGCCAGCGAATTTATTCTGCGATAAATAACGGGGTCGAAGAGGGCCGGCGAATTAAATAGTTGAAGGGGTGTCCCTAGCGAAACGCTGTTTTTGAAATTCCGATCGATTAAACACATGTAAAAAAAAGCATTTTCGTTTGTTGCATATGTCTCGAGCGAAACGCTTGGTTTTCATAATGTGTTGAGGATGCCTCACGCGAAACGCTTGTTTCGTGTTATAGATCTTTCCTCTCCTGGGGTTCACAATTCAGAGGATGTGTCAGGTGAAATGCTTGTTTTCACGTGCCCAGGTCTTGAGATGTCTCGAGCGAGTCGCTTGGTTTCACGCCTCCAGGTTGCCCAGGCAGATGTCTAGCATGAAGATGTGTTGAGGATGTCTCGAGCGAGACGCTTGTTTTCACGTGTCCAGGTCGCCCAGGCGGATGTCTAGCATGAAGATGTGTTGAGGATGTCTCGAGCGACACGCTTGTTTTCGCGTGTCCAGGTCGCCCAGGCGGATGTCTAGCATGAAGATGTGTTGAGGTTGTGCTGAGCGAAACGCTTGGTTTCATGTGTCCAGGTCGCCCAGGCGGATGTCTAACATGAGGATTTTGTTGAGGATGTCTCGAGAGAGACGTTTGTTTTCACGTGCCCAGGTCGCCCAGGCGGATGTCTAACGTGAAAATGTGTTGAGGATGTCTCGAGCGACACGCTTGCTTTCACGTGCCCAGGTCGCCCAGGCGGACGTCTAGCCTGAGGATATGTTGAGGATGTCTCGAGAGAGACGCTTGTTTTTACGTGTCCAGGTCAACGTCCCTTGGCATGACGTCCTCTGGCCGCCCCATGGCACGCGCTTTGGCACGTCTCGTGGCTGGTCCCTGACTCGTCCAGGGCACGTCCCCTGATGCGTCCCCTGACACGTCCTCTGGCGCATCCCCTATTGAGCCCATGGCACATCCTGTGGCGCGACCGTGAACCTGTGCCCCGTGTCGTGTCGTTCCTTGTCGGAGCTGAGTCGGATTTTGATGTCGAGTTGATTGAACGTCCTCCACGTTTCCACTTCAACTAGCTCTGGGGCGGCTATTTCGTGCTCAGGCAGCTCGAGCTTAAATTCCAGATCAGGTCGGTCAGGACTCGAATGCTAAGGAGTGCTCGATCCACAACGCTATACAGCACAATCGCGGCAAGGTACATCGCAAGTCAGCACGGCGCAGCACAGCACAGCCCTTGGCACAGTACATTAAGATCAGCATTGCAAGTGCCCGTCGCCCAACCAGGTGTCTTGAAAACGTTGCCATGCTTCACATTTCTATGTCCCTTGCCAGGTTCGTGGGTCGATCATGTTGGGGGAGGAGTAGGAGGAGAGGAGGAGATGAGGAGGATGAGGAGAACATCCATGAAGGGCAGCTCCTCAAGGCAGCTTGCAAAGCCGTTGACCGTCCGGTCCACTCCTGTCTCATCTGCTCGAGTGCCGGCCGAACCAGCTCTTACAATGCTCCTACCAGGAGGAGGGGATCATCAGAGGAGCAGGAGGAGGAGGATGGGTTTGCATGGAGTCCTCCGATCACTTCGTCCAGAACGGCGATGAGGGTTAAATGAGCTGACGCTCGTTACTGCGGGCACGGAGACGCGATTTTTCCACCGGTGGTGAGAGGACCAGGTTGCTCCACAGCGATGCGGGCTCAATGAGCCGACGGTCGTTGCTGCGGGCACCAGCGCTTTGTTGGAACGAAGACGCATGCATGTCCCTCCTGCGCGTCCTCCCCTCCCTCGTCGCGCAGACCGTGGAGGAGAGCAGACGATCCTTCTGCTCCTCATTCTTTCTCCATCCTTCCTCCCCACCTCCTCCAAGGAGAGAGAGAGAGAGAGAGGCAGAGAGAGAGAGGGACACTGGCCGCTCAGTCGCCAGGTCTACCTGGCTGGCCCTGCCCTCGCGGAGAGCGTGTACCTGGGCCCCCCCCCCAGGGTCGCGAAGAAAGTCGCGCTCCGCACATCGCGGCTGGGGCTGAAGAGAGAGGCCCTCCTCCAGGGCGGCGGCGCGAGGGCGCGAAGTTCACCGCGCGTCGCGCGTCGACGGGCGCGATGCGCGAAGTCAGGTGACCTCGAGGTGTGGAGCAGAGGTTGCTCGAGAGTCCGGGCGATGTCAGGCAGCCGGAAGCGCCTTCACTCCTCCTCGGACTCAGCAAGCAAGCGTGTCTGCATCAAGAGGGCTGATCCATGCCTCACCGGCCTGGAGGTCACTTGTGAGGGCAACTCCCAGGCCGTCCGTCGGTCAGTGCTTGCTGTGGTCTCCCCTGTGTTCAAGCATATGTTGATGTCAAAGCTTCAAAACGGGAAGACCCAGCGCATCCATATATAAAGCTGAAGTCAACAATATGTTGGCAGAATGCTGGACTTCCTGTACACAGTACCATGGATGGTCCAGTGTTGGAAGATTGGCCAGCATGATCAGTATCGAGTTGCTGGTTTCGGAGACCCCAGGGATGGCACGGTTGAGTTGCTGCAAAATGAAACTGTAACTAGCAATGGCCACCGAGTGTGGAAGAAGACACGGATGGAAATGTGGATTTGTTCAGCCGAGGGTACAGCGACGCGGTGGCAGGTAACCTACCACAAGGGCTGCGTCACTCTCGCGGGTGTTACTTTGGGAGCTCATCCCCACCGGGGCAGGCTTCCTGGCGTTGGCAGCAACCAGATTTCGATTGCCTCACCCCTGCACACGCAGGTCACCTACACCATGCAGGTGTTTTTGCAATTTTTCCGGATGGGGGCATTGTCTCCCTCTCTCTCTCTCTCTCTCTCTTTCTGTCGCTCTTTCTCTCTCTCTCTCTCTCTTTCTCGCTCTCTATCTCTCTCTCTCTCTCTTTCTCTCTTTCTCTTGTTCTTTTTCCCGGAAAAGGCGCGGGCCCAGGGTTCTCTTTTAGTTGGTGAACCGACCCTGGTGCCAAGTTCGACAAGGGCTTGCGGATTCTTTCCTTGATGACTAACTAGGTCGAAGAGGGCCGGCGGATGAACACTTGAGGATGTCCCGAGCGAAACGCTGGTTTCTTGAAAGTCCGATCGATAAAACACAGGGTGAAGTACGCATTCTCGTTTGTTGTGGATGTTTCGAGCGAAACGTTTGTTTTGCATAAATTGTTGAGGATGTCTCGAGCGAAACGTTTGTTTTGTGCGATAGATCGTTCCTCTCCTGGGGACCAGAATTCAGAGGATGTCTGAGGTGAACTGCTTGTTTTCAAATGTGCCCAGGTCTTGAGGATGTCTCGAGCGAGACGCTTGGTTTCACGCCTCCAGGTTGCCCAGGCAGATGTCTAGCACCAGGATTTGTTACGGATGTCTCGAGCGAGACGCTTGTTTTCACGCGTCCAGGTCGTCCAGGCAGATGCCTAGCATGAGGATGTGTTGAGGATGCCTCGAGAGAGACGCTTGTTTGCACGTGTCCGAGTCGCCCAGGTGGATATGAGGATGTGTTGAGCTTGTGTTGAGCGAAACGCTTGTTTTCACGTGTCCAGGTCGCCCAGGCGGATGTCTAACATGAGAATGTGTTGAATATGTTTCTCTGGAGGGAGAGACGCTTGCTCTCACGTGCCCAGGTCGCCCAGGCAGATGTCTAGCATGAGGATGTGTTGAGAAGGGTCTCGAGCAAACCGTTCGTTTTCGCGTGTCAAGGTCGCCCAGGCGGATGTCTAACATGAAGATGTGCCTAGGATGTGTTGAGCGAAACGTTTGGTTTCACGTGTCCAGGTCGCCCAGGCGAAAGTCAAGCATGAGGGTGTGCTGAGGATGTGTTGAGCGAAACGCTTGGTTTCACTTGTCTAGGTCGCTCAGGCAGATGGCTAGCATGAGAAGTTGTTGAGACTGTCTCGAGCGAGACGCTTGATTTCACGTGTCCAGGTCGCCCAGGCGGACGTCTAATATGAGGATTTGTTAAGGATGTCTCGAGCGAAACGCTTGTCGCAGTAGAGTGCGTCGCAGTCTAATCCCGCCCGTCCGTGGGGCGTCCCCTGGCGCCCTGGCGCACCCCCTGGCGCGTCACTTACGACGTTCAGGCGTGACGTGCCCTGGCACGTCTCCTAGCACGCCACTCGGCGTGGCACGTTTCCTGGCTCGTCCTCTGTCGCGTTTCCTTGCTCGTCCCCAGGCGTTTCCCCTGCCCGTTCCATGGCGGGCCCCTTGCAACGTCCCTTGGCATGACGTCCTCTGGCCGCCCCATGGCACGCGCTTTGGCACGTCCCGTGGCCAGACCCTGACATGTCCAGGGCACGTCCCCTGATGCTCCCCCTGACACGTCACCTGGCGCATCCCCTATTGTGCCCCTGGCACATCCTCTGGCGCGTCCGTGAGCCTGTGCCCCGTGTCGTGTCGTTACTTTCCGGAGCTGAGACAGATTTTGAGGCCGAGTTGATTGAACGTCCTCCACGTTTCCACTTCAACTAGCTCTGGGGCGGTTGCTATGTGCTCAGGCTTAAGATCCAGATCAGTTCGGTCAGGACTCGAATGCCAAGGAGGACTCGATCCACAACGCTACAGAGCACAATCGCGGCATGGCACATCGCAGTTTAGCACGGTGCAGCACAGCACAACCCTGGGCACGGTACACCAAGATCGATACACTCAGCGTTGCGGCTGCCCGTCGCCCAACCGGGTGTCTTGAAAACGCTATCCTGTCCCGGGTTCGTGGGTCGATCACGGGTTCCTGGTCATTGGTTCTGGACCGGTTGGTTCCGGGTTCTTGTGCTCCCAGTCGATATTTTGATCGATCTCTTTATGGATCCTACGATTGATTATCGATCTCATGATCGATCACACGATTCATCTCACCCAATGGATCTCACCATCGATCCATCAAACCATCCACTCATTGGGGTTTTATCTGGTGTAGTTTTTTTCTCCAGCGATCATGGGAGGTAGCCGGTTCGACGACCGCACGACGGGCATGGTCCAGCACTACGCGCCGAAGGCCAGGGCGGCCGAGGCGAACGGCACCGGCGGCATCGTGCACATCAACATCGACAGGAGCGCCTTGGCTTGAAGCTGCCGCCCCGCCCGCAGGCGGGCGTTGCTGTGAGATAACTCTTCCTCATCGTCCTCATCCGCGTCCTCATCTTCCTCCTCATATACTCGCCCATTCCACCCTGTGTAACGGTGGGCTCTCCTCCTCCCCCTGCTCCTCCTCCTCTTCCTCCTCCTCCTCCTCCTCAAAGTTCTCTTTTTCCTCATGCCTGTGCTCGTCGTCTTCTACAATTACTCAATATGAATACTACTCTCCCTCTTCCCCCGATGACGGCCTGAAAGTGTCCGACCCCCCCCCGCGTATGGTTTTTTACACAGGTTTCCCCGGAGTTGGGTTTTCGCTTGCATTTTTTTTCGAAATGCTGCTCTCGCTGAGGCGCCGGCCTCATTTTCGGGCCCCGCTCGTTCCGAATCGTGCTCCCGCTGCAGCGCTGGCCTCATTTCCGTGCTTCCGCTCGTTCCGAATCGTGCTCCCGCTGCAGCGCTGGCCTCATTTCCGCGCTTCCGCTCGTTTCGACTCGTGCTCCCGCTGCAGCGCTGGCGTCATTTCCCGTGCCATGCCACGGCGTGCAATGCAATGCTAGGTTGATGCTACGCTTTGCGGTGCTCTTCTACGCCATGCCATGCCGTGCTCTACAATGCATCGCGTACCCTTTCGGGATCATTGCCCTGCTCGACATCCGACTGTGCGAGTAGAGAGGGGATCTGCGCCATGGTAAGGGATGGGAGGGAGGGGTAGGATGTCAGATATGACGCGAGCGCACCTAACTTGTCATCCCCCCTCTCCTACACCATCTCTGTCCCCTGAAAACAGCGCCTTGAGGGGATGGATGAGGGAGGTAGAACGTCAGGTATAGGGCGATCGCACCTAGCACGTAGCTTGTCTTCCCTCCCCTTTTCCCCCCTCCTTCACCTCCCTCCCTCCCTCCCCCATTTCCCTCCTTGACGCCAGGCCAGTCCCTCTTCCTCGGTCCTCCCCCTCGCCTCGCCGTCCCGCTTCGGCCGCTGCTGCTGAGGGGCGTTTCGGAAAGTGCCCGCTCAAAGCTTGCAGGAGCCACCTCATTATCCTACTGCAATTATTCTTGCTACT